TATGGTAGCTAATTCTTCCCTGTGTTACTGCCCGTTCCCCCAGGCGCCTGTAGGATGGGATCCTCCCCTTCCTGTCCCGGGCGCTCCCTACCCCCCAATATTTACCTTAGAACCGGCCTGTCAGCTCTGCCCTGGCTAGGCTGGGGCTTTGCACTGAGAAGAGGAAGGAGGGAGATTCCCCTCATGCAGAAGTGGGGTGCAGAGCTCCCCCACTTTGGGCAGTGACTGAGGCTATGGCCCCCTCCCTCCCACACCGACCCCTTAACTTCCTGAGACTTAGGGTCACTAAGGCGTTTGCAGTGAGACCCAGGTTCTGGGCTCTGCCACTTCCTGTTTGGATGACCTTGAGCAAGTCACTGTCCCTCCAGCCTTGTGCTCATTTGTAAGAAGAGAACTCACCTACCTTTCCTGTTTCTCATTCGCTTTCTTCGAGACAGTAGAAGAGGAAAGTGTTTTGAGAACTGTAAAGCGCCTTTGCCTGAGAGTTATATTCACTTCCTTTTGTCTTGCCTCTAAGAGAATAAAATCTATGCATGCTCTGGATTCTGCTCCTATGGGAAGGCCCGGGTCCCCTCTGGGCCTTGGTTTGCCCACCAGTACAAGAGTGAGGGGCTGAGACTTAGGGGCCTCCAAACACCCTGAATCCTGGCTCCAGAGCAAGGCCACCTGGGCAGCTGTGCCCTCCCCCTTCATTCCTCTCCCCTGAGTCAGGCTGGCCTGGCTTCGGGGCTCGCCGCAGCCCCCGCCCCTTGCTCTGGAATGGGGCAGGTTGAGGCCTCACCCCGTGGAGGATGTTGCCAAGACAGTACATACGCATGCGCACAGGTGCACATGGCCTTGAGGGGCAGGGGCAGGGGCTCCCTTTCCTATTCCTCTCTGTTTCCAGGCTCAGGGGGGCCCCAGAGCAGTGGGTACATGCATCTGCCCTCGTGTACACGCAGCCACCCAGCAGGACCCTGCGTGAATCTGCACAGTGGCGCTGGGGTGTGGGGAGGGCGTGGACTAGGGAGGCGTGGGTGTGCTTTGTGGACGTGGTGGTGAGAGCACCCGCCTGTGAGGGATGGCCCCAGTGAGACTTTTTGGAGGTGCGGTCTGCACACTTCTGCCGGTGGTCTGTATCTCAGCTCCCTCCGAAACTTGTACGTGTGCTTCCTGGTGTGCGTGGCCTGGAGCAAGGTGTCTTCTTAGATCCGGGAAGCCTCCTCCCCTGGGCAGGTAGGGGAGGCAGAGGCTGTGTGGTGAGCCTCAGTCCCAGGCTGCACCTTTGGACTGTGCTGGAGCTGAAGGTCCTGGAACATGGACTCCAAGTGTGGCCTTAGGCAAGGTCCTTCCGCTCTCTGGGCCTTAGTTTCCTTGTGAGGTGCATGCTCTCCATCCGAGACTTGGGTTGCTGAGCCTCTCCCCAAACAAGCTACAGGTGTGTAGACCTGCGCCTGGGGTGGCTCAGAGGGACCTCAGTCTCTGGCCAAGGCGCGGGTGGGGGGCGGGGGGACGGGTGTTGCTGGGGGAACCAGATGTTATCAAGTGTGAGAGCCTTGGATCCTGCTGGGGAATTTGCAGCTGTGACCCTGACTGCAAGCTATGGGCCTGGGACCTTGATGAGCTGATGTTTCCCCACCCCTGACTTAGCAGAGCTCAGCCCTTAGTTTCCCTGGTTGGGAGAAGCTGAGCATGCCTTTGTCCTGCATGGTTGAAGGCTCCAGTTTTGGAACCAGCCAGAGCTTGGGAAGTCACCTGGCTCTGTGAACCTCACAGGTCAGTTACCAGGAGAGTATCTTTGAGTACCTGCTTCGAAGGACTGTTGTCAGATCTATGAGGGTAGAGACTGCCTTCCACCAGCGCCTGGCATGGTGCCTGGCATGAATTAATCACCCTACAAGTGTCGGTCTACTGCTCTTTTCTGTTTGAGTGGGACTAATAAGAGGGATGGATGGGTCTGGCCTAAGAGGGAGGGAAGAGGGGAGGATGTGGTCAAGAAACCTCAAATTTTGGGGGATGGTAGGGTCATCCAAACCTTCTTCAGAGGGAGATTGGGTTTGTAGCTGGCACAGTGGGCAGAACGTGGCTTTTGGATTCAAGTGGTCTTGAGTGTGAATGCTGTCCCGCCATTTACCAGCTTTATAATGCTTGCCCTCTCTGGTGTCCATTTCCTCATCTGTAAAACGGAGATAAAAGTGCTTACTTCTTGGGAATTCCCAGGCGGTCCAGTGGTTAGGACTCGGTACTGTCGCTGCGGGGGCCTGGGTTCAACCCCTGGTTGGGGAACTAAGATTCCGCAAGCCGCACAGCACAGCCAAGAAAAAAAATGTGCCTACTTCTTAAGAGTGTTGTTTAGATTTCAATGATCTGAGGATATATACTATCTAGCCCCACAGAATTTTGTTCACTAGAGAGCGAAGGCTCAGCTGTCTGCATGAGTGGTCCCTGAGAAGTGGCACAGCAAATGGGGAAGGACCAGTAGGAGGATCTTGCAGCATGGGAGCCATTGTGAATTCTTAGATCCCTAGGGACTCAGAGAGAGAGAAAGTTGCTGTGAGAGAGGGGTGTCCTCAGGTGAGTCTGGGGGACAGCACTTTATAGTTCACAGACCTTCTCTTCCACAGTCTCAGCTACTCTTTTTTTTTTTTCTTTCTGGCTGTAGCACGTGGCATGGCATGCAGGCTCTTAGTTCCCCGACAAGGGATGGAACCCATGCCCCCTGCAGTGGAAGCACGGAGTCTTAACCATGGGACCACCAGGGAAGTCCCTCAACTACTCTTTTTGGAGTTGCCGGGGGAATCTCTTTTAACACCGTCAATACTCAGCTGAACCTTTAGTACTGACCTCTTGGGGTTCTTCGAATAAAATCCTGACTCTGCCAAGCCCTCTGGGGCCCTACCTGACCTGGCTTCTGCCTTTTCTCATCTGCCATTCTCTCCCTTGCTCATCATATTCCAGCCACACTGGCCTCCTCTCTGTTCTGGGAAAACCATCCCACCACTCCAGCCTCAAGACACCTTTATGCTTGCTGTTGCCTCTTTCTTTTCTTTTCTTTTCTTTTCTTTTTTTTTAATATTTATTTACTTATTTGACTGCGCCAGGTCTTAGTTGCAGCACACAGGATCTTCGTTGCTGCGTACGGGATCTTCATTGCGGCATGCAGAATCTTTAGTTGCGGCATGCGAACTCTTAGTTGCAGCATGTGAGATATAGTTCCCTTAGGGATCAAACCCGGGCCCCCTGCATTGGGAGCGTGGAGTCTTAGCCACTGGACCACCAGGGAAGTCCCTGCTGTTGCCTTTTTTTAGAAGGTTCTATGCCCAGCACTTGCCCTGGTTGGCTTCTTCTTTAGGTCTCAGTTCCAATAGCCTTTCCTTGATGCCCCCTAAAGTCACCCACTTCCTGTCACATCTCCTCAGCCCTCACTATCTAAAATTATTTTGCTAGTTTACCTCATTCGGGAGCGTGGATCTTAGCCACTGGACCACCAGGGAAGTCCCTGCTGTTGCCTTTTTTTAGAAGGTTCTATGCCCAGCACTTGCCCTGGTTGGCTTCTTCTTTAGGTCTCAGTTCCAATAGCCTTTCCTTGATGCCCCCTAAAGTCACCCACTTCCTGTCACATCTCCTCAGCCCTCACTATCTAAAATTATTTTGCTAGTTTACCTCATTCGTGTATTCATCAAATATTTATTTATTTATACTATTTATTTATTTATTTATTGGCTGTGTCATGTCTTCATTGCTGCACGTGGGCTTCATCGCGGTGCGTGGGCTTCTCATTGCAGTGGCTTCTCTTGTCGCGGAGCACGGGCTCTAGGCACGCGGGCTCAGTAGCTGTGGCTCGCGGGCTCTAGAGCGCAGGCTCAGTAGTTGTGCATGGGCTTAGTTGCTCCGCGGCATGTGGGATCTTCCCGGACCAGGGCTTGAACCCATATCCCCTGCATTGGCAGGCGGATTCTTAACCACTGCGGCACCAGGAAAGCCCCTCATCGAATATTTATTGAACTCATAGTATGTGCCAGACACTAGGGATATACTGGTGAACAAGATAAAAGTTTTCCAGTAGCTGTAGCCCCTAGTACTAGTTTAATAAATATTTGCTGATTAAATGAATGGATACAACAATCTTATAAAGAGGAGTTCTTAGCCTTGTTTCCATGTGAGGTCATGACTTGTATGTGATGGAGCTGGATTTGAACCTGGACCTGACTTCCCTCCAAGTACCTTCCCTCCTGCCCCTCACTCTTACTGCCCTCACCTATGGCTAATTCTGTTCTCCCTGTCTGGTGATCCAAGAGAGTCACTGAGTCACAGAGTGAGACCAGTGAGAAGAATCCTGGGCTGGAGAAGCAAGAGGTCTGTGTTGAAGGCCTGCCTCTGTTGTGTGACCTTGGCGAGTTTACAGTGCTTTTCTGGCTGTTGATGTTACATTACTGAAGTGGGAAGATAATCCTCTGGAAAGTCTGGGGCTGGACATACACGTGAGGGGTTGTTAGCACCAGCCACTGTGATTCTGCTCTGGGCATCTCCCCGGCTTCCCAGCACTGTGCCCTGGGCTGGCTCCTGCTCCTCCAGGAACCTCTGCCAGTGTCCTTGCCATCTGCCCAGGCAGTCCTGGGCTTCTGCCTGGCTGCTCCATGCTGTGAGCCCCTTCCCCAGGGAATCACCCTCACCAGCCAGGAGGACTTGGGGGTGGGCACCATGCCAAGTCTAGTCTAGTGGCTCTTCCACCCACCATCTGGCAGCCGGCACCCTTGCCTTAGCTCTGGCTCATGACTGTTTAGAAAAGGACTTGGGGACAGGGGTAGTGGGATGCCCCTGGAATTGAGTATCTTTGGTCCTCCTAGTCATCCTTTGCACAAGAGCCGAGCACCCAGAGACTCCGGGCCTCAGTTTCCCTGTCGGAGTCTGGGAAGGTGCCTGCTCCTGCCCTGCACTCGAGGGGCGGGGTCGGTAGATGGGCGGGATCAGTGGTGAAGGTGGGAGGAGGACCTGGAGAGTAGCCCCTCCCCCTCCTCTGCCTGGAGCCGCCGCTCTGCGGCTGGGCGGGCAGACTCATCCCCTCAGCGCTGGGTTATGGTGAAGGCATCGCCCGGCGTTCTGGAGAGGTCAACGTAAGGGACGGTCCGAGTGGCGTCGGCAGTCATGGTGGTGTTCCTGGGCCGTCACCTCCCGGCGCTCCTCGGGCTCTTCAAGAAGAAGGGTGAGTGGGTGTGGCTGGGGGGGGAGATAAGAGATCCCCGACACCCCCATTTGCCAGACCCTTACGTAGAATGGGGGATCAAGGCCGGGGAAGGCAGTGGGTTGGGGGATGAGGGCTGGTAATGAGGCCAGACTCCCCTGTCCGCCGCGGTGCCTTTGTCCAGCAGCTTTCCTACTGCCTTTGTTTGATTTCTGATTGTGTTTCAGAGGATGGCTCTAGGTGTCTCTGACCTTGAAGCCCGCAGTCCTCGGGCAAGATTGCCTTCCTCCAGGGGTACTCACGCTTTACTGGGTACATCCCAATACCTCAGTTCCAAGAGGTAGTGCACCCCCTCCCGGGTCAACTCACTGTGTGTGTGGGAGGATGGGATGTGGGGAGCAGAGTAGAAAGGAAAGTAGTACCCCTGGAAGTTGGGGAGCAGATCAGGGAAATCGTGTTTAGAGGCCTGGGGGTGAAGTTTTGAGGGGAGGGGCCTATGCCCTCCTCCTCCTAGGAACTGGGCTTTCAGGCCTGGATTAAGATGTGGGGGCCAGAGGGCCCCCAGTTTGAGTGTGATTCAGGAGTCCCCTCGGGAAACGTGGAGTTTAGTCTTGGCTCTGACTCCAATTTGCTGGGTGACCTTAGGCAAGACCTTTCCTCTTTGAGCCTTTTTGTGGACTTGTAAAATCAGGAGGTTGGGGAGAGGAGGATCTCTGAGAGACCTCCTAGCTCTGACCTTGTGGGATTCCTGAGGATTCCCTGGGCAGGAGCTTGGCTGTTAAGGAAGGCGGAAGGGGCAGTTCAGGTGTCTGAACTGAAGATCCTGATCTTGGGGCGTGGCCCTTTAAAGGGCTTGTTTTGTTCCTGTCCCTCCACAAGGTGCTGCCAAGGTCACATGACCCTGCCAGAGCTTTTGCTTATGTTGTGGGTTCCGTTTAAAGGGGGGCTGGGGCTGCAAAGTGCTGACACAGCCCCTATTCCCAGGATTAGATGCCCAGCTCCTCCATGGGCAGGGCCTGTAACAATATCCTTTGTAATGGACCCCTGGCTCCTCTGCACCAGGGCCCTGGGCCTCCAGGAGAGGGGGATACCTGGGAATGTTCCCCAGGAGAGGCTGGAGCTGCCTCAGGGGGAGTGAAGTGGCTTGGGTCCCTCTTCTCCCCTCCCCAGCCTGTCCTTCCACTGAGGGACAGCTGCATGGGTGATTAGGGGACGCAAATGGCCATATCCTTGGCTTAGCCCACACCCCAGGACTTCCTGGGAAGCTTGTTATGACCTTTGCTAGTGCCCACCCCTTCCTAGTGTCCCATGTGTCTTCTTCTTGGACCTGGGCCAATGGGGTGTACAAAGGAGGTGGTTTGTCTTCCTGTAAAGTGGAGCTCAGGATCTGGAGACAAGAGAAATGTATTTGCTACGGGCTATGTGTACACTGGAGTGTCTTGCATGGGGCCCTGAGTGACAGTTGTGTGTATATTTGGGTACTGTTTGTGCATATACAGACTGGGGACTGTGGGTGTCATGTGTATATGTGGCGGCTGGGTGTGCTCTTGGTGTGGGTACACAGATGTGGTTTTACTTGGATGCTATGTGTTTGTATACATACTGAATGAAGCCTGTGGGTGTTGTGTGCATATATGGTGGGCATGTGTGCCCTGTATGGGGCCCTTTGTGTGGTGTGGGTGCTCAGATATATGTACACTTGGATTATAGCTTGTGTATGTACTTGGGGGCTGTGTATATTGAGTGTATACCCCAGGACTGTGGGTTGAGTACAGACTGGGGGAAGTAGGCACTGCATGAATGTGCAGGTGCCCTGTGCACTCTGGGCGCCCTTGTTGCAGTGCCTGTGCCTTCCTAGGGCCCAGATACCTTTGGGGCTCACTTTCCTTCCTCCTCCATTCCCAGCAGGCTCTGCCAAGGCTGAGAGTGACAAACGACTAAGTGTGGGGCCAGGCCAGGGGCTAGGGTCTGCAGTGGATGAGCACCAGGACAATGTCTTCTTCCCCAGTGGGCGACCGCCTCACCTGGAAGAGCTGCACACGCAGGCCCAGGAGGGGCTCCGTTCCCTCCAGCACCAAGGTAACCTCCTCCTCCTCTCTCCAGTGCTACTTTCAGCTCCCAAAGTCAGGGGCCTAGCTCAACGTACCTTTCTGATGCCTTTCAGAAAAACAGAAACTGAACAAGGGTGCCTGGGCCCATGGAGACACACAGAGCATCCAGGTGAGCCCTGCCCCCAGCTCAGTCTTGATGTATTCCTCTCTCCCTGCTTGACCTCTGACAAGTATGTCTTTGAACCCTTCTGGATCTGTTTCCTTTCTGTATCATGAAAGGCTAGACGAGATGCCCCCGAGGGCTGGTCCAGGGTAGCTCTAGCTGATGCCTGCTCAGTGCTAGGTGATGCTGGGGCAGGTCGGTGGGGGGTGAATCTGAGTCAGAAGTTACAAAGGGGAGCCTGAGGAGGCAAAGGTAAGCCCCACTCACGCCTCTGGACTGATCCTTCTTCCCCCAATAGTCCTCCCGGACCGGGCCAGATGATGATAGCATCTCCTTCTGCAGCCAGACTACGTCCTACACAGCTGAGAGCTCCATGGCAGAGGATGCTCTCTCCGTCCGCTCTGAGATGATCCAGCGCAAAGGTAATCCACTCACCAGCCAGGATTGTTGGGCAGGAGAGGGCGTGGTGGGCACCCAGCACCTGCAGCTTTCCCTTTTCCTCCTAATCTAGTGTTTCCCAAGACTGTGATTCAGTGGATTCAGGAAACATAGTACCCTGTGTCCTCTTGGAGGTTCATAATGAGCATTAACCGAAAAGCAGAACAGTGAAGAGTTGAGAAACCTGGTTTTGAGCCTAGTGTTGCTATTTACAGCTGTGTGATCTTGGGCCAACCCTTTACCTCTCTGTGCTTCTGTTTGATGTTCTAGAAAAATGAGGATAAGAATACGTACCTTATTGGAACGAATGCCAAGTGTTTAGCATGCTAACACATTTAATAAGTGTTCGCTAAGTGGAAATCATCATTATTGACCTAGTAAAGCCTTCCAGAAGGCTTGCAGAAAAGTGTCTATAGCTTTGTTTAACCCAGCTTTGCCCATGCCTACTTGACTGTGGAAATCTTTTCTCACAGAGTTCTTATTAATATTCTATAAAAGTTGTGCTCTGCAGAATGTGCCCCGAGATCTGCTCTAACAGTTTCTCTCCCTGGACTCGCCTGCAGGCTCCACCTTCCGACCGCATGACTCATTTCCCAAATCATCTGGAAAGTCAGGGCGGCGGCGGCGGGAGCGGCGGAGCACGGTGCTGGGACTGCCACAGCACGTGCAGAAGGAACTCGGTGAGCGCCTGATGAGGAGGCTGTGGGCGGGCAGCCCTGGCCACCCCCTCTGCTGACTCCCACGCCCTCCTTGTCCATTCCAGGCCTGTGGAATGCACGTGAGGCACCAGGTACTCCTCGGCCTCCCGGTCCACGGGACATTGTACGCATCCCCACGGTGGATGGCCATCCGGCAGGCCCGGCCTCAGGGCCAGGGGTCAGGGTGTCCCTGCAGGCGCTGGAGGCGGAGGCTGAGGCCGGTGCCCAGGCAGAGGCCATGCTGCAGCGCCACATTGACCGCATCTACCGGGATGACACGCTCGTTGGCCGGTCCACGGGGGCCCGGCCCTTGCCATTGACCCGGCCCATGTCCCTAGCAGTGCCCGGACTGACCGGAGGGGCAGGGCCTCCAGAACCCCTGAGCCCGGCCATGTCCATCTCGCCCCAGGCCACCTACTTGTCGAAGCTGATCCCGCACGCCGTGCTGCCGCCCACGGTGGACGTGGTGGCCTTGGGCCGCTGCAGCCTGCGCACACTGAGCCGCTGCAGCCTGCTCTCAGCCAGCCCGGCTTCCATCCGCTCGCTGGGCCACTTCTCCTCGGTCTCCAGCCCGCGGCCCCGCAGCCGCCACCCTTCCTCCTCCAGTGACACCTGGAGCCACTCTCAGTCCTCTGAGACCATTGTGTCTGACGGCTCCACCCTCTCCTCTAAGGGTGGCTCAGAGGGCCGGCCAGAGAGCTCTGTGGCCAACAGTAACGTGGTGCCCCCTCCCCTGGGGGGCAGCGGGAGGGGCTCTCCCAGCGGGGGCAGCACTGCCGAGGCCTCGGACACTGTCAGCATTCGGAGCGGTGGCCAGTTGTCCGGCCGGAGTGTGTCCCTACGGAAGCTGAAGCGGCCCCCGCCACCTCCCCGTCGGACCCACTCGCTCCATCAGCGCAGCTCACCAGCACATGATGGGCCCCTGGGGCTGCCTCCCAAGCCCGAGCGGAAGCAGCAGCAACAGCTGCCCCGGCCGCCCACCACTGGCGGTGGGTCAGAAGGGATGGGGGCAGCACCCTGTCCATCCAGCTCAGCAGGCAGCTGGGTGCCTGGCTTGTCTCCAGGTGGCTCCCGGCGTCCCCCACGCTCCCCAGAACGGACACTCTCACCCTCCAGTGGATACTCGAGCCAAAGTGGTACCCCTACCCTCCCTCCCAAGGGTCTAACAGGGGCCCCTGCTTCCCCAGGCAAGGCCCAACCCCCTAAACCAGAGCGTGTCACTTCCCTTCGATCTCCCGGGGCCTCGGTCTCCTCCTCCCTCACGTCTCTATGTTCCTCCTCCTCTGATCCGGCGCCCTCAGACCGCTCTGGTCCGCACGTGTCGACCGCCCTGGGTGACAGGTTTGTCATACCTCCTCACCCCAAGGTGCCTGCCCCCTTCTCCCCACCTCCCTCTAAGCCCAAGAGCCCAAACCAAGCTGCCTCTGCTCCAGCTGCCCCTGCTGTGGTCCCTGGGCCTATCTCTACCACTGCTGCCAGCCCTGAGTCCCCACCTACTCCTCAGACATCCCTAACCCCACCTCAGGCAGCTCCTGGTGCCTCCAAAGACCAGTCACCCCCACCATCCC